CATATCTCCCATAATACTATGATTTTACAATTTTATTTAATCTCACAAGTTTTTGAGCAGCGGTTTGTAAACTGGGGCTAAACTACACTTTTTTGAATTTTTCTGAAAAAAAAAAAAACCACAATACATAACCCATTTTTTGTAAAATATAAAAGATGATGTTACGCAGGCCATACACGGGTCGAATTCCGAACGATTTTTCATCAGAAAATCAAAAACGTTGTTCACTCGGTAATCCGATGGTGCCATCAATGATTTCGAAAATCAGCCGACCAAGTCATAAAGTTCACCCCATATAACAGGCGAGACTTCTGTTCCTTCCAGGTCACGGCTCTATTCTTTTCGGCAAAACGATCGTACAATTTGACCTTCATTGAGTTGAAAATCGGTCGTTTTTCACAAATTTTTCAACATGCCCGATCACCAAAAAGGGGAGGAACCACGAAAATCACCCGGTGCCATTGACCCCACTAACAGAGTGAAATTCGACCGATTATTCTTAGGTCTGATTTTCGGACAAAAAATCGATCGCATTTTGACCCATGTATGGCCGGCCTTACACAGGCATCATCCTGGTACAGCCACTTGAATTCAAACAATATACCCTTCAAGTTGTCAAAACTATAGGCAAAACTATTTTTTTTCTTAAATTTTGGAGCGAGTAAAGAAGGGTGAGATTTTTTAATTTTTTTTTTTTTCACCACAAGTGTCCCTTAGCCAAAACAGGAAGTGAGAGGAAATCCCTGCAACTTAGGGCCCCCCAGGTCACCAAAGCTAGGGTCACTATTGGATGATTTCCTTTGTATTACATTTCTGGGAACAACCCAAAATTTGGGATTTTTCTTTTACTTTCGCTTTCAATGATAATGGTAAACAGGAGGACAATAATAACTGACTGGAATTCTAATCGCTCTGCACTCTGTCCAAAACTAAAAAAAAAAAAAATGTTGACTTTAGTTATACTTCAATACTTCCCATAGTACTATGTACACGGGGACCCCTCTTATACAGCGGGTAAAATAAGTATTGAACACGTCACCATTTTTCTCAGTAAATATATTTCTAAGTATGCTATTGACATAAAAGTTTCCCCACATGTTGGTAACAACCCACGTAATCCATACATACAAAGAAACCAAAACAAATAAGTTCAGAAATTATGTGTAATAAAATGGAATGACACAGGGAAAAAGTATCAAACACATGGAGAAAGGGAGATGCAAAAAGGCATGGAAAGCCAAGACGCCAGATGTAATTATCAGTAATTAGAATGCAATCCTGCCCCTTATCATTGCAAATTAATATCAGCTGGTTCAGTCTCAACTGATGACCTATAAAACGGTGTCTCATTACCAAGGTGTCACACAAGAAACGTCTCATGATGGGTAAAAGCAAAGGGCACTCTGCATAAAAGCAAAGAGTTTAATCAAGACCTTCGCAACCTTATTGTTGCAAAACATACTGATGGCATTGGTTACAGAAGGATTTCTAAACTTCTGAAGGTTCCAGTGAGCACTGTTGGGGCCATAATCCAGAAGTGGAAAGAACATAATTTCATCATAAACCTTCCATGACCAGGTGCTCCTCACAAGATTTCTGACTGAGGAGTGAAAAGAATTATCAGAAGAGTTGGCCAAGAGCCAAAGACCACTTGTGGAGAGCTTCAGCCAGACCTGGAATTAGCAGGTACAATTGTTTCAAACAAGTAATGCACTCAACCCCCATGGCCTGTATGTACGCTCACCACACAAGACTCCGTTGCTGAAGAAAAAGCATGTTGAAGCTTAAAAGTTTACTGCACAACATTTAGACAAGCCTGTGAGATACTGGGAGAATATAGTCTGGTCAGATGAGACCAAAATTAAACTCTTTGGATGCCATAATATACACCATAGTTGGAGGTCACATGGTACTGCACATCACCCCAAAAACACCATCCCAACAGTGAAGCATGGAGGTGGAAACATCATGGTGTGAAGCTGTTTTTCATCATACGGTACTGGCAAACTTCGTGCCATTGAAGGAAGGATGAATGGAAAAATGTAACCAGGACGATGAAAATGAAACAAAGGTGGACATTTCAGCAAGACCATGATCCCGAGCACAAAGCCAAAGAAACTCTCAATTGGCTTCAAAGAAAGAAAATAAAGCTGCTAGAATGGCCCAGCCAATCACCTGACTTGAATCCAATAGAAAATCTATTGCAGGAACTAAAGATCAGAGGTCATAGAAGAGGCGCACGGAACCTTCAAGATCTGAAGACTCTGTGGAAGAATGGGCCAAAATCACACCTGAGGAATGCATGCCACTAGTTTCTTCATACAGGAGACATCTTGAAGCTGTCATTACCAACAAAGGATTTTGTACGATGTATTAAATAAAATTTCAGTTAGCGTTCTCTTTTTTCCCTGTGTCATTCTATTTTATTACACATAGCCTAATTTTTTTACTTATTTGTTTTGGTTTCTTTATATGTATGGATTGCACGGGTTGTTACCGACGTGGTGGAAATTTCATGTCAATGGCACCTTTAAAAATATATTTACTGAGAAAAATGGTGACGTGTTCAATACTTATTTTACCCGCTGTATATAATGTATATACCTGCCATAAAACTGTATACATAGATACCCCTTCTGTATACAGCATATACAGTATTCCTCCCATAATCTTGCATACACAAAATTGCCTCTATATACTATGCATATCTCCCAATACTATACACAGAGACCCCTCTATAGTTCTGCATACACAGAGACCTCCTATATATACTGTATAGACCTCTTATAATACTATATACACAGATACCCCTCCTATATATACCTGGCATAGTACTATATGCACATGGACTCCTTATGTATACACCTTCCATAGTACCGTATGCATAGCGATCCCTCATATATATTCATAGATCCCATAGTACTGTATACACATAGACCGCCACCTAAATGTTCTGTATATACCTCCTATAGTACTGTATGCACAGAGACCCCCACCTAAATGTTCTGTATATACCTCCCATAGTACTGTATACACAGAGACCCCCCACCTAAATGTTCTGTATATACCTCCCATAGTACTGTATGCACAGAGACCCCTCTTATATATTGTAGAGACCTCATATATATATATATATATATATATATATATACACAGAGATCCCCTCCTATATATACTGTATATACAGCGCTCAGCATAAATGAGTACACCCCAATAGATTTGTCAGAAAACCTTTATTTTCCTTTCAGAATCAACATTTTCTATGGGACACTATACTACAAAATACTCCCACAAATGTGGGCCATTGATTGCAAACAAAATTTGTTAATTTGCACACACAAAAAATTATTTTTCCTAACAAATTCATTCAAGACCATGTTGCAAAAATGAATACACCCCAATGAAAGTCTTAGGAGCAAAGCTAAATTTTAGACAAGATCCCAATTAACAAGAATTCAACTACAGGTGAGTCTAATTATTCAGTAATCAGGTGTCCAGCAGACAGTTGATTATAAAAGGGAGTTGCTTAACATAGAAAACCCCTCCCATTTCATGCTGTCAGCAATGGCACCACATGGAAGAGAAATGTCACAAGACCAGAGATAGAAAATAATTTCTTTACACAAGAAAGGTGAAGGCTACAAGATGATCAGCAAAGCTTTACTTACCAGTCAGAATACTGTAGCAAAAGTGATACAAAAATTTAACAAAGATGGAACTGCAACCATCTCACAGAAATGTCCAGGCCGTCCACTGAAGTTAACACCTTGACAGGACAGCATCTTCTGATGAGAAGGGTTGAAGAAAATCTCCATGCAAGTTCACTGCAGATAGCTAAAAAAGTAGAAAGCCAAACTGGGGTGATTGTTTCCCGTGACACAATACGGGCAGAGGAATGGCATGCACAAAAAAGCCGCCTAGTATTTGCCAGGGCCAATGCTGAAAAGTAAGAAGACCGCTGGGACTCTGTAGTCTGGAGTGATGAGACCAAGATAAATGTTTTGGAACTGATGGCTTCAAAACGGTATGGCGTCGCAAAGGTGAGGAGTACAAAGAAAAATGCATGGTGCCTACTGTGAAACGTGGTGGTGGCAGTGTCCTTCTGTGGGGCTGCATGAGTGCTGCTGGTGTCGGGGAGCTGCATTTCATTGATGGTGTCATGAATTCACAGATGTACTGCTCTGTATTGAAAGAGAAAATGTTACCATTACTCCGTGCCCTTGGTCGTCGTGGACTTTTCCAACATGGCAATGATCCAAAACACACATCTAAGGCCACTGTTGTATTTCTGAAGAAGAACCGGAGAAAGGGATTCAATGGCCAAGTATGTCTCCTGATCTGAACCCAATCCAACACCTATGGGGAATTGTGAAGAGACAAGTTGAGCATCACTCTCCATCCAGCTTCCAGGCTCTAACACAGGACGTTCTTGAAGAATGGAAAAAGATCGATGTTGCAATATGTCAGCAACTTGTTCATTCCACACCTAGAAGACTTGGTGCCGTCCTTACAAATCATGGAGGTCATACAGAATACTAAATGTTTTTGTTGTCGGGTGGATTCATTTTTGCATCAACTAATTGGTGTAAAATTGAAGATTTTGTAATCTAAGTGATATTATTATTATTAGTGATATTATCTTTCATGTAATCAGCTAAACAAATGTTCTATAAAACTCAGTTTTGTCAAAATTGTGAAAATTGTTCTTGTGTTCAGAGATATAGATTAAAATCTTAGTTTTCAAAAGGTGTGTCATTTATGCTGAGCACTGTGCCTCCCATAGTACTGTATACACAGAGATACCCCAAGTCCCCTTTCTCCCCTTATTATCCTAACGGTGAGATGTCTGTGAAGTACAGTGTGATTCCGGTGTTAACATTTTATATTGAATCTTTCCTGTGCAGGGCGCCAAGATGGGACGTCGCGCTCGAGCTGCTCAGGACACCCAACAAGATGATGGGGAGAATTCCCGGAGCTCGGCCACAAGAGAGGTGTGCTGAATGTGGAGAGAAAGGGGAAACAGAATTTCCATGCTAACTCCTGATTTGCTGCTCCTGTTAGATAAATTCAGAAAAATACATGAACACTTGCAGTTGTATGAAAAAGTGAGTACGCCTCATGGAAATTGTCAACCTTTTCAACTTATTTGAACTGGCAAACCATAGATCTTGATTCTGATAGTGCCTACAGATAAAGGTGATATACCTACAAACGACACCTAGAACTCACATGGTATATTTAATTTTCATTCACTTTAATGAACAAAAATGAAGATTTGTTGTATGGAAAAAGTAAGTACACCCCTACATTCACACCAATGTCATATCCAGGAAAATTAGAATCTGGTGTTCCATATTAGGTACCAATGATATAATTTCCTTAGAGAGTGTGCAGGTGGAACTTATTTTATCCTCGGATGTATAGAGGCAGATTTACTAAAACTGGTACACACAGAATCTGGTGCAGCTCTGCATAGAAACCAATCGGCTTCCAGGTTTTAGTCCTTATGCACACTTGACGTTTTTACAGCGGCTGTTTTTGGCTTTTGATGTTTTTTTCTACAGCTATTAAACCCCCCAGCATGTTATCCTATGTATCCATGCACACATAGACTGGAATCAACGTGTTTTGGCTGGAAAAAAAAACCCAGAACTAGTTGGTTTCTAGAGGAGTTTTTGCAGCTGTAAAAATGGTCTAACGTTGAAAAATGCGGTAAAATGCCGCAAACAAGCGTTTTTTGACGTTTTTTTTTTTTTGACCCCCAAAAATATATATTTTTTTGTAATAAAAAAATGTAGCAAAATGCTAATGGGAGAACACAAAAAAAAGCTGAAAAACTCAAGCTTTTAACGTGACTTTACACAGCTAACGTTACCAGCGTTATCAAAACGTCCCATGAGGACTTAGGCAGGCCATAGACGGGCCGTTTATTGGCCGAATTGTTGGCCGATAAACAAAAAATTGGTTGGTGCCGTTGCCGATGCTGCCACCAATGTCCATGAAAAACGTCCGTTTTTTCGTGGATTTTCCAGCATGACTGATAAAAATAAATGAGAATGACTGACAGGCTGGCCCCACTAACGGCGTGAATTTCGTCCGATTTTTCGTGCGGACGAAAATTCGGACAATAAACGACCCGTCTATGGCCTGCATTATGGTCAAATCTTAATTGAACAAGCTGAAGTTAGAAGCTGATTGGTTACTATGCACAGCTGAACCAGATTCTGTTTGCACCAGTTTTAGTAACTCTCCCCTATAGGGTCTGGTGTTCTCTTGGCGATTGATGTGTTTGTTGTTATTATTCCAAGGTCAGTAGAACTCTTTAAATCCCTCAAAAAGAAAGTTGTAATATGCAGGGAGTTTGAAATGAATCATTTCACTGTAAGAAAATAATTCACAAGTGGTGTCAATTTCTGACAACTGCTCTTTTTTTTCAAGAGAGCTGACTGATGCTAAAAGAAGTCTCCAATAACCCCAAAATCTCTTTGTGGAGTGTTTAGGTAACTCTTGCAGCTGTTGAGGTCAAAACTGCATGCATCTAGAATCAGAAAGAGATTGCAGCAATTCAACCTGCATGAGAGGTGCCCTAAGGAAAAGCCGTTGCTGTCCAAAAAGAACATTAGAGCCAAAATAGTGTTTACCATTGAACACGGAGGCAAAAACCAGACCTTCTGGAACAATGTGATGAAGACTGATCAATCAAATATAGAGGTGTTTGGTCACAGTAACAATAGACATGTTTGTCACAAACTGAGGGCAATATTTCAGAAGAACCTCATAACAACTGTGAAGCATGGTGGTGGAAATGTTATGGTTTAGGGTTGCTTTGCTACTTCAAGGCCTTGGCAGTTTGAATCTGCATTATATTAAAGTGGGCTTAATGAGAATGTGAAGCCATCGATCTAAGCTTTGACTTTGGACCGGAAATTAGTCTTTCAGCATGACCATGGTCAGAAACACAGAAGGCAAATCCACCAAAGATCAGCTCAAAAAGAAATAGAGGGTTATGGACTGCCCTGGTCAGAGCTCTGATTTCAGTCCCCTTGAAGTGTCGTGGGGGATTTGAAATGGGCAGTTCTTTCGAGGAAACCCACAAACATCTTGCACCTGAAGACATTTTGCACAGAGGACCAGTCGATGTCAGCCTGGTGAACAATAATATGACATTTCTACAAATAATTTCTGCTATAGGGGGCAATAGCAGGTGCAGAGGTCAGTAAACCATGAAAAACAAATGTATCTCTGCACCCAGGAGTAACCAGTGTTTGCATACAGTCACCTGTACAAATCATTGACAGGCTGCAGATGTATACTGGTAGCTGCAGAGCCAACTGTTTACTTGTGTACAAGGATGCATGCGTGTCCCTGGAAGCCGACAGATTGCATCCAGGGCCGCTAGTCTGTGCCTGTTTGATAAAGATCTAATATTTGCCTGTTCAAGTATGTTGAAAAATCGACAATTTCTAATGGAGTTGACTTAATTTTGTTAAATGACTGTAAGTGGTAACAATGTGTTTTTTGGAGTCATGTATCATAGGGTTTGTTTACACTTGATTCAAAATGTGACATTGGACTCAATTTTTTAAAGCCTTCTTTATGCCAGTCAAAGCCCCTCCCCCTAAAAATCATGGTTACCTTGCAGTCCTGTTTGCATTTGCTTTGCTTCAAAAAGTATGTCGCTTTCTTGGTGTTTCAAAGTGTCTCCGAAGCCTCCATTGAAGTCTATCAAAACGCTCGTTAACAGCACCTGCAGCATATGAGGGGTTTTTCTTCAGCGATATCTATGTTTTGGAGGTATTGAAAGTATGAGATATCCCAGAATGCACTGGTAAACCAACAAGCGAACCAGAAAGACATCATCAGTCACTTCCAGTTCATGTGCAAATATTCTGGGAGTGTCTGGTGCAGATGTCACATCTGGTGTGCAGTGTGGAGCAGCAGGAAGGTGAGCGGAGTCAGGACCGGAGCGGAGCATATAGCAGACGGCACATGTTGTGCACAGTGTGGGAACGCTATAGTGGAAAGTGACCAGGGACTGGAAAGATAGGACTGAGCGGTGGAGGATCAGCAGAGCTGGGGGACCAGAGCAGGAGGAACTAGCAGATGTCACATGTGCTGTGCAGCATGGAAGCAATATAGTGGTGAGCAGGGACTGGGAGAGAGAAGTGGATCAGCAAACCAGAGGATCAGCAGGTGTTGGGGCTACTACTGAGTGGGGGATCAGCAGAGCGGGGGGTTACTAATGAGCGGGGGATCAGCAGAGCTAGGGGTTACTAATGAGTGGGGATCAGCAGAGCTGGGGGTTACTACTGAGTGGGACATCAGAAGAGCTGGGGTATTTCTCAATCAGGGATCTGCTGAGTGTGGGTACTAATGACCTGGGGATCTGCTGAATGGGGAGTGTGACAGTCATTTTGGGTGGGGGGCCCATGGAACCCAGCTCATTTTGGGAGAGGTGGGGTGTCTCAGTTCCCCATATTCTTCTTATGTGGGAATCACCCTGTGCCTGTTAGGGGCACAGGGTGATCTGACCTAATATTGTGTGGGCTTTTTCTCAGACTGTGTAGACTTGTTTAGGAGATAGGTGGGGTGGGGGTTGTTGACTGTTTAATGTTATGTGGCTGCATCCCATTGTTCTATTGTTTGTCTGGCTTGGGAGCAAATTATTATGGGATGTATGTGTTTATGTGTATTAGCTTAGGGGGGGGGTCTCCAGCAGCCCTCCCTCCTGATGGGACTGTCTGCTGGTGTGAAGTTTGAATACATGTGTGTCTCTTGTTACTAAATGTAGATTGCCCCGCCCTGTGTCATTATGCTGAGAGGGGGGATTGTCTCCTGAGTGTATATATCTTGTACCTGTGTTCAAATAAAGTAGTCTACCTCTGGTTTATCCTTCAAATCTGGATCTTGGGGTAACAATAGCCAGATTCACTGGTCTCATATTCCAGAGCCTGAGAAGCAACTTCTTGATGGAGATACCCAGTCGTGGGTATCTGGGGTCCGTTACAGGGGGCATTTATATGTTGGGGATGTTACTGAGTTGGGGGTGCTACTGAGCCGGAGTTCTATTTGTCAGGGCTCCGGGTATGACCAGAGGTGTGTGAACTGACACAGGGAAACGCAGGCTTCAGATATGGTATAAACAATATGATTTATTAAGACTAACAATACAAAACGCAGTGCAAAACTAAACATAAACACAGTGCAAACAAACCAAACCAAACCACCTACAGATAACAATACATACAATGCAAGAGTCGTCAGGCAGGCCGGGTCAGTGGCAAAGGGAGTACCAGGAACAGGCGGGAGAGTGGTCAGGGTCGCAAGCTGGGTTCAGTAACTCACGGGCAGCGCGGTGCAGAGGGTCAGGCAGAGAATGGTCAGGGTCACAAGCCAGGGATCAAACAGGAGAAGTCAGCAGAGGTCAGGATCAGGCAGGGTCGGCAACAAGTCAGACAGGAACAGGAACACAGGATACAAGATACAGGGGCCCATGGAAAAACACACACCAAGGCCCTGACTGTGATTCTGGCCATTCCTTAAATACAACCCCTGCAATCAGCTTCAGGTGTTTGGCTGACTGCAGGGGTGAATCTCTGATTGCTGAGAGCACCTGCTGGCCAGCCCTGGTACTGCAGCCCACAAGGCAGGTGAGTCCCACCATTATTGGCAAGTCCATTCCTGACACTATTGAGCCACTTTAAAGCTTTAAAGCAAATAGAAAATCAGCACACATCCACAGCATTTGCCAAGCTTCAATAAAGCTTCAAAAAAGCATCACAGAAGCATCAAAAATACATGTTGCAGCGGTAGGAGCTTTAATGTATATTAAAGTCAAAGCAATTTTAAGTGAGCCCTTATACTGTATATTAGTGGTAACAATGTGTTCCTTGCTACTGGAATGTTATGTTCTAAATCTCTTCATTTTCTTGTTTCAGGGCCCCCCGAAGCCGCTGCGACAGGGAGGGTGGGCAGATGACTCCTCAGGGATCTCCAAGTGAGTGTTTCCTTCTAAAATTGGGGATAATGGTGAGCTGTGGATGGAGTACTGGAAGAGTTACAGCCTGGGACACCCTCAACAATCCTATGGGAAAATTTGAGGATCCTTGGGGTTCCAAGATGGGGGCCAGACCCCTCATAGGTCACATTCATTTCCATGATTTCAATACTAGAACTTTCTGGACTGACATATAGAAGGACTGTTCACATTACATTTGCTGGATAAAAAGATATTTCTTTTTTGCAGGCTGGGAAAGCGTGGTGTGGAGGACGTGGAAGAGTAAGTGATGCAGTCTAAAGGTATAATGATGTCCTTTGCGAAAACATGGCAGCTTCTTAGGGGGCAGAGAGGAATGGCTTCTCTCTTCCCTCTAAGATGCCATCATGTTTTGCAGTTACAACCATTCACACAAAGAAAACCTATTGTTAAATATGTTTTCCTCCAGCAACCCATGACACCTCTGCCTTCGTATCTGCATGATTGTATAGTCAGGTGTGTTCAATGACACAATGATCGAATTGGCCCCCAGCATAGTTTACAGGCCAGCAACCATCTCCCATCCAATCGCTATAGTACCCTGAGCAGGGGCGGACTGACCATTTGGAAACTCGGGCACTGCCTAAGGGCCGGGGTCAGTAGGGGGCCCCATGAGATGCCCCTGATACCTTTTTCATAGACTTTGTTGAGGTCGGGCAAGGACACAGGGGCCCCATGATCCCCTATTGCCCGGGGGCCCCATGAGTTGTCAGTCCGCCCCTGACCCTGAGTACATTATATTATACATCTATGTACCGTATAGTATTCTGTGTACATTATATTATACACTATACATCTTTGAACATTATAGCACATGGTATATATACATTCTGTGTCAAGAAACGCCCCACTTCCGAGACACCCCTTGTCTCTGCACCCTACCCAACTCTGAGTATTATTCCTTGGTTCCACCCTCTACCCACCTCCCAGTACCGCATCTTTTAGAGAAAACAGAACCAAATATAATTTTGTGATGCTGAGTAATTTGTATGGAATCTTTTAATGATAACAAGAATAGCAGTAAAACAGATCCCCTGCTGCCAGCAACAATATCCTTGTCATCCGCATCTCTTTCTGAGATTTTGTGGTGGGGGGTAAGGGGAGGAGAGGAATGTGGGCCTGTTGGGGGGGGTTGGGGGTGTCCTGGGGGGGTGGGGGAGGGGGTTATTGCTGGAGTGGAGCTGTGCCTTCTGGAGGCATATTCTTTGGGGGTGGAGGTCTGTTTTTTGGCGGGCGGTGGGGGGAGGGAATGTATGGGATGTGCATTGTCATTTTTTACGTCCAATGAATATATCCTGTTCATTAGCCATTGAGGTGCTGTATCCTTTCTTTCTTTTGGGTTTTTTTGTAAGTTATTGCTCTTGGATGCACTTCCCCCCCGTTATGTGTATGCAGGGGGTATGGCATGAGCTGGTGTACCACTCCCAGGACAGGCTGTTTAGCCATTGGGGGTTTCTTTATACAGCAACAATATCCCCTCACAGCAACAACAGATCCACTGCAACAAAATACCCCCACATCAACAATAGATCTTTCCCAGGAACAATAGAGCCCCACCAGAAACAATAGATCACCTGTGAACATTAAACCCTCCCATAACAGTAGATATCTCCCAGCAACAATTTGACCCAAACCAACAATAGCCCCTGCAAGAAAATACCCCCACAGCAACAATAAATCCACCCCAGGAACAATAGACCCCCGCCAGCAACATCAGATCACCAAGCAGCCAGGAACAGTGGATCCCGCCCTCAACAGTAGATCCCTCTCAGTAACAATTGCCTCCCCCCTTCCCCCAGCAAAATAAGACCCCCCCTTATGAACAATAACCCCCCACTAAACCATAGATTCCTCCAGCAACAATAAATCCCCCAGCAGCCAGCATCATTAAACCCTCCAGCACCCCATGTCATTATATACATTTAATGCTAAAGGTCCTGGAACTGCGTTCCCCCTAAAAAAAGAAAAAGAAAAACCCTGTTCCGTGTACATTTTATTATGCTTTGTACATTATAGTATGCAGTGTATATTTTATTATACATTTATTATACATTCTGTGTACATTCTCTTTTCTTCCTGCAGCAGCCGCTTGAGACAGCAAAGTCTAGATGAGTCGGATGAGGGTGGAGGTGAGTGAGATGCATGCAGCCCAACGGTGGCTGTCACATGAGCCCAAAACCAGGATAACGGAGAGAAGGCAAGGGTACGGGTACAGAACAGGAATAACACAGGGAGGACTGAGATATGAATGCAGGACAGGGGTAAGAGGACAGAGATATGAGTACAAGACGGGTAACAGAGAGAGGACAGAGATATGAGTACAAGACGGGTAACAGAGAGAGGACAGAGGTATGAGTACAGAACAGGGGTAACAGAGGGAGGACAGAGATATGAGTACAGAACAGGGGTAACAGAGGGAGGACAGGACAGGGGTAACAGAGAGAGTACAGGAGTAACAGAGAGAGGACAGGACAGGGGTAACAGAGAGAAGACAGAGATATGAGTACAGTACAGGGGTAACAGAGAGAGGACAGAGGTATGAGTACAGTACAGGGGTAACAGAGAGAGGACAGAGATATGAGTACAGTACAGGGGTAACAGAGAGAGGACAGAGGTATGAGTACAGTACAGGGGTAACAGAGAGAGGACAGAGATATGAGTACAGGACAGGGGTAACAGAGGGAGGACAGGACAGGGGTAACAGAGAGAGGACAGGAGTAACAGAGAGAGGACAGGACAGGGGTAACAGAGAGAGGACAGAGATATGAGTACAGTACAGGGGTAACAGAGAGAGGACAGAGGTATGAGTACAGTACAGGGGTAACAGAGAGAGGACAGAGATATGAGTACAGGACAGGGGTAACAGAGGGAGGACAGGACAGGGGTAACAGAGAGAGGACAGGAGTAACAGAGAGAGGACAGGACAGGGGTAACAGAGAGAGGACAGAGATATGAGTACAGTACAGGGGTAACAGAGAGAGGACAGAGATATGAGTACAGTACAGGGGTAACAGAGAGAGGACAGAGATATGAGTACAGTACAGGGGTAACAGAGAGAGGACAGAGATATGAGTACAGGACAGGGGTAACAGAGGGAGGACAGAGGTATGAGTACAGTACAGGGGTAACAGAGAGAGGACAGAGATATGAGTACAGGACAGGGGTAACAGAGAGAGGACAGAGATATGAGTACAGGACAGGGGTAACAGAGGGAGGACAGGACAGGGGTAACAGAGGGAGGACAGGACAGGGGTAACAGAGGGAGGACAGGACAGGGGTAACAGAGAGAGGACAGGGGTAACAGAGAGAGGACAGGGGTAACAGAGAGAGGACAGGGGTAACAGAGAGAGGACAGGGGTACAACAGAGAGAGGACAGGAGTAACAGAGAGAGGACAGGAGTAACAGAGAGAGGACAGGACAGGGGTAACAGAGGGAGGACAGGACAGGGGTAACAGAGGGAGGACAGGACAGGAGTAACAGAGAGAGGAGAGGACAGGGGTAACAGAGAGAGGAGAGGACAGGGGTAACAGAGAGAGGAGAGGACAGGGGTAACAGAGAGAGGACAGGGGTAACAGAGAGAGGACAGGGGTAACAGAGAGAGGACAGGGGTAACAGAGAGAGGACAGGGGTAGCAGAGAGAGTACAGAACAGGGGTAACAGAGGGAGGACAGAGATATGAGTACAGTACAGGGGTAACAGAGAGAGGACAGAGATATGAGTACAGGACAGGGGTAACAGAGGGAGGACAGGACAGGGGTAACAGAGGGAGGACAGGACAGGGGTAACAGAGGGAGGACAGGACAGGGGTAACAGAGAGAGGACAGGGGTAACAGAGAGAGGACAGGGGTAACAGAGAGAGGACAGGGGTAACAGAGAGAGGACAGGGGTAACAGAGAGAGGACAGGACAGGGGTAACAGAGAGAGGACAGGAGTAACAGAGAGAGGACAGGACAGGGGTAACAGAGGGAGGACAGGACAGGGGTAACAGAGGGAGGACAGGACAGGGGTAACAGAGAGAGGACAGGACAGGGGTAACAGAGAGAGGACAGGACAGGGGTGACAGAGAGAGGACAGGACAGGGGTAACAGAGAGAGGACAGGACAGGGGTAACGGAGAGAGGACAGGACAGGGGTAACAGAGAGAAGACAGGACAGGGGTAACAGAGAGGACAGAGATAGTAGTACAGGACAGGGGTAACAGAGAAAGGACAGGGGTGACAGAGAGAGAACAGATATGAGTACAGGACAGGGGTAACAGAGAGAGGACATTTTATGATATTCTGACATTTCTGGAATTGTCTCAGCAGATATTCCGGTGATTCCGGATCTGGAGGAGGTTCAGGAGGAGGATTTAGCTCAGCAAGTTGCTGCACCCCCCAGGTAAGAACTTTTCTGTATCTTTCTGTGTCTCTGTATGTTGTGTCCTCTCCACCCTTCTACACACTCCCTGTGTACTTCCTTGTCCCCAGGCTTTCTTCTTTCTATTAATAATATAAAATTACAGCGTGTTCCTGAATTTTTTTTTTTTTAGTGTTCAAGTAAATCGAGTGATGACCTATAGAGACCTGGACAATGACCTGATGAGACACGCCGCTTTCCAGACCCTGGTGAGCTCCCTGTGCCCCCCGTACTGCCAATATACGCCCCTTGTGTCCCTCATACTGCCAGTAGACACTCCCATTGTCCCACAAACTGCTCCTAAACTGTCTCTCTGCTCCACATACTGCCACTACACACCCGTCTACCCCACGTACTGCCACTAGACGCCCCCTGTCCCCACATACTGCCACTAGACGCCCCCTGTCTCCACATACTGCCACTAAATGCCCACTGTGCCTGCCATACTGCCACTAGACACCCTGTCTCCCCCCCACATACTGCCACTAGACACCCTGTCTGCCCCCACATACTGCCACTAGACACCCTGTCTGCCCCCACATACTGCCACTAGACACTCCCTATCACCCACATGCTGCCACTAGACACCCTGTCTGCCCCCACATACTGCCACTAGACACTCCCTATCCCCCACATACTGCCACTAGACACTCCCTATTCCCCGCATACTGCCACTAGACACCCTATCTGCCCCCAAATACTGCCACTAGACACCCTATCTGCCCCCAAATACTGCCACTAGACACTCCCTATCCCCCACATACTGCCACTAGACACTCCCTATCCCCCACATACTGCCACTAGACACTCCCTATCCCCCACATACTGCCACTAGACACTCCCTATCCCCCACATACTGCCACTAGACACTCCCTATCCCCCACATACTACCACTAGACACTCCCTATTCCCCACATACTACCACTAGACACTCCCTATTCCCCACATACTGCCACTAGACACCCCCTATCCCCCACATACTGCCACTAGACACTCCCTATTCCCCATTACTACCACTAGACACTCCCTATCCCCCACATACTGCCACTAGACACTCCCTATTCCCCACATACTGCCACTAGACACTCCCTATCCCCCACATACTGCCACTAGACACTCCCTATCCCCCACATACTACCACTAGACACTCCCTATCCCCCACATACTGCCACTAGACACTCCCTATCCCCCACATACTGCCACTAGACACCCCCTATCTCTCACATACTGCCACTAGACACCCCCTATCTCCCACATACTGCCACTAGACACCCCATCTGCCCCACGTACTGCCATTAGACACCATGTCCCCCACATACTGCCACTAGACACCCCCTGTGCCCCATTGACACTTGACACCCCCTGTGTCCACATACTGCCACTGGAAACATTCTGCCAGGTAAACTCTCTAGATGCCTTAACTGCCCTCTACTCCAGTCAATGTAACAATTTTTTTTTCTTGGACCTCCTTCTCTCTCCTATTGATCTGCTCTCCTGTCAGAGGATTTTCTCCCAGAAAGGGGTGAACGTATGTCCAGATCTGAATACTCCCTACTCATTTGTACACTGAGCTTTTGCCAAGGGTGATCCTCTATCCTTTTTTCCAGTGAATTTACCCAGAAATAAAATACACCCTCACCCCGGAGTACATGTGGTGTTTTGTATGGAGTTGGTGCGGTTCTGGTGTGAATATGGATGTGCTGTGGTGGAAGGTGTGGTGTCACTTGGGATGTGTTGTTTTCATGGGTGTGACATGGAAGGACAGTGGGCTCTACTATTGAGTGTAAACAGAAAATCTGCAATTATCTCTAATAATGGACAGTTTGACTATAGAGCTTTCTTTTTCACACAACACTATCATACTCTTTTATCAGGATGGAGACATCGATCTAAAACTCCTCACCAAAGTCTTGTCACCGGAAGGGGAAGTGAGAGAGGTGAGATCACAGACTGGAATGATGAGAAGCAGATATGAGAATGGCCTGTTCTAGTTATGGTCCTGGACAGGGGCGGACTGACAACTCATGGGGCCCACGGGCAATAGGGGATCATGGGGCCCCTGTGTCCTTGCCCAAACTCAAAAAAGCCTATGAAAAAGGTACCAGGGGCATCTCATGGTGCCCCCTACTGACCCCGGGCCCTCGGGCAGTGCCCGAGTTTCCAAATGGTCAGTGATGACTGTGATTGGTGACATGTATAGGGGGGTTGATGTGGCTGGGGTGGGAAATGACATGTTGGGGGGACAATTAGGGGTGATGATATTCTGTGGGAATGATGCGGTAACGTGTTTTCCCTCCACAGGACGATGTGCACTGGGACTGGGATTTGCTTTACACTGAAGTTTGCTCGGAACTGCAGACAGAGTGGGATGTGGGGAAGACGGAGGATGACGGTTTGGTCTGCTGACTGTAGAGAAAAGTTCTATTTCTTTGTACATATTCAATAAACTTTCTATTACATATCAGTAGAAGGAATTGGCTAAGTCTCGTAGTATTTGTCAGCAGCTCTTCTCTGCCCCGGCCTCCTGCTGGGTAAGGGCAGAAGGTGCCTTGTCATAGCAGTGCCAGGGACAGGAGACATCTGCCAGGGACACACAGCACAGTCAGGTGGGTGTCTGTTGGTAACAAGCCAGAAATTTGGGACAGATGGTGTGGGGTTGATGCTGACTGCCCTGACAAACCACGTACTGATGCCAGGCTGGACCCTCAGTAGATGTACAGAGAGCCATGTATGGACTGTATTATCTGGGTGACCATTTTGCACTTCGTTGAGATACTAGTGTACTGCTACCATTGTCTGAGCCTGCAGAGCTTCTAAAAGGGTCCCGGCGGGGGAAGGGGTAGGAAGTCCCCTATCATTTTACAAGGAAGGGGGGTCCTCCTATTGTATTCATACTCTGGCTGTGTCAGGAGGGCAGGGGGCAGTTATTAGACCCCCCCACCACCACCACCACCTCTGTATTCACCCCATGCTGCCCCTCCCTCTGATATGAGCCAGTGAAGGGAGATTTTCCGATGAGATTACATCCTCCTGATCTTATCTGTAATATAGTGGCTCTGCTGCTCTTATTAGCTGACGATAATTAGCATGTGATGACAACGTCAAGTGCAGCTAATGATGCTGAGGAATGTAAGCAGCTTGTTCCTCCGAGACCTCACTGTGCACTCTGCAAACATGGGACCCGCACTGCACTCTGCAAACATGGGACCCCACACTGTGCAAAAATAGGACCCAGCACTGTGCATTCTGCAAACATGGGACCCGCACTGTGCATTCTGCAAACATGGGTCCCCGCACTATACAATCATGGGATCCCATATTGTGTTCTCTGCTGATGTGGGGCCCCGCACTGTGCTCTCTGCAGGCATGGGACCCAGCGCTGTGTCCTCTGCAAACATGGAATTTTGCATTGTGCTCTTTGTAGACATGGGACCCCGCACTGTGTTCTCTGCAGCTGAGGGACCCCACACTGTTCTCTGCAGACCTGGAACCCCATACTGTGCTTTTTTCAGATGTCTCTCACTGTGCTCTATGTATAGGTGGGACCCCACACTGTGCTTTCCGCTGATGTGGGATATTGCTCTGTCTCTCGCACATAGGCAGAGCTCACACCATCCACACATTCAGGCATGTTTCTCTTCTTTTTAGAAAAGGGCTTCTGCACAGTTATATGTACATAGTGGGGCCCTCCTCTCTCAGAAGGAAGTATCTCTGGGTGCTGATGTGTGAGTGATTGTACCATGATAGGCCGGACATGACGGGGTAAGCTAGGGAATGATGTAATTGAATGGAGATATGTCACACTGTAGTCCAATAACAGGGACTATTGGCTTTTTATTCCCTATGCTACATTTCCTTCACTATTAGATGTGGTTGGATGTCGGCAGACATTCTCTCTATTCAGTAATACTTATGCAGAAGAGATGTTCACAGCATCTGATTAGAAGTTGTCTAGAAGGAATGTGGGGTCAGTCAGATTAACCACAGACAACAGTGGAAGTCCTCCTGTCCTGGGATGACAGTGTGCGTACGGCAGTGTGATGTTCCCCATAAATAACCCCCCCCATTGAGTGTGTGTACGGCAGTGTGGTGTTCCCCATAAATGACGCCCCATTGAGTGTGTGTACGGCAGTGTGATGTTCCCCATAAATGACGCCCCACTGAGTGTGTGTACGGCAGTGTGGTGTTCCCCATAAATAACCCCCCCCATTGAGTGTGTGTACGGCAGTGTGATGTTCCCCATAAATGACGCCCCATTGAGTGTGTGTATGGCGGTGTGGTGTTCCCCATAAATGACGCCCCACTGAGTGTGCGTACGGCAGTGTGGTGTTCCCCATAAATGACGCCCCATTGAGTGTGCGTACGGCAGTGTGGTGTTCCCCATAAATGACGCCCCATTGAGTGTGTGTATGGCAGTGTGGTGTTCCCCATAAATGACGCCCCATTGAGTGTGCGTACGGCAGTGTGGTGTTCCCCATAAATGACGCCCCATTGAGTGTGTGTATGGCGGTGTGGTGTTCCCCATAAATGACGCCCCACTGAGTGTGTGTACGGCAGTGCGGTGTTCCCCATAAATGACGCCCCACTGAGTGTGTGTACGGCAGTGTGGTGTTCCCCATAAATGACGCCCCACTGAGTGTGTGTACGGCAGTGTGGTGTTCCCCATAAATGACGCCCCATTGAGTGTGTGTACGGCAGTGTGGTGTTCCCCATAAATGACGCCCCATTGAGTGTGTGTACGGCAGTGTGGTGTTCCCCATAAATGACGCCCCATTGAGTGTGTGTACGGCAGTGTGGTGTTCCCCATAAATGACGCCCCATTGAGTGTGTGTACGGCAGTGTGGTGTTCCCCATAAATGACGCCCCATTGAGTGTGTGTACGGCAGTGCGGTGTTCCCCATAAATTACCCCCATTGAGTGTGTGTACGGCAGTGTGGTGTTCCCCATAAATGACCCCCATTGAGTGTGTGTACGGCAGTGTGGTGTTCCCCATAAATGACACCCCCATTGAGTGTGTGTACGGCAGTGTTGTGTTCCCCATAAATGACCCCCATTGAGTGTGTGTACGGCAGTGTGGTGTTCCCCATAAATGACCCCCATTGAGTGTGTGTACGGCAGTGTGGTGTTCCCCATAAATGACCCCCATTGAGTGTGTGTACGGCAGTGTGGTGTTCCCCATAAATGACCCCCATTGAGTGTGTGTACGGCAGTGTGGTGTTCCCCATAAATGACGCCCCATTGAGTGTGTGTACGATGTGAAAAGCTCACAGTGTGCAGTGAAATCAGAGTCAGCAATTTCAGTACAGGAAAGGAGCCGGTCCAACCATGCAAGACTGAAGAAAAGACTGAACTTCAGCTTTAGAAAAAGAAAAAAAAAAAAAGGTTTTGTTTGGGGCGGTGTGACAACAATGAGGGCGACCTGTACAGAATGTTACCTGCCATGGCCATGCAGGAGGTGTTTGGTGAGTGTGGATGGGGCTGACTGGGAGGTGAGTGAAAGATTTTCTGTATTAACTCTCTGCTCTGCCTGCTGGGAGTCTGCTCAAGGTATCTACTGCTCCGTGGTGTTTCCTTGGTGCCCCCTTATCCTGGACAATGCCCCCGGCATGGCATCTCACTGTGGCATGCACACAATCCCCGGGCTGTGCTGACAGGACGCGGCTCTCTGTTCTGTCACCGGCGGATGTGGCTCAGGAACCTGCAGCTTCGGTTACAGCCTGTCACTAGCACCTGTCTGCACCATCCTGCAGGTGTGTGTACGGGGGAGGGGCGCTCCGCACAGGAGACGACTCCTCTGTACATTGCACAAGTGGAAATCTAAAATATTCATCTAGCCAGTTATCACTCTAGTATCGTTGTCTCACCTTCCACTGGGGCCAAAATAGACCCACGGAGTTGTAGTTCTGCCACCAGGACAACAGACACTTAAAGAAGAACTCCGGGCAACATGTTTATTTTCAGTGAGACTGTGCAATCTGCTAGACACAAATGAGCAGTTAACGCATTCAGTGCAGGCAAAGAGGAGATATGCTTACCTAATCCGCTGGTCCTCCAAGTGCAAGGCTGATCCCCAATGCTCCTGCCCCCACCCCCTCCCCCTCCCTGCACAATAGGGGTATTTTGAATGGACTGTTCCTGACGTCATCATGCTAATAGACCAGCTCTGGATGTTCGGACGGCAGGAACAGTCCATGCACAAGACCCCTATTGTGCAGGGGGAAGGGGGGGGGGGCAGGAGCAGTGGGGACTAGCCTTGCGCTTGGAGGGATCGGCAGATTAGGTAAGTATATCTCCTCTTTGCAATTGGCTAGGCAAAAATGAGCAGTTAACGCATGCAGTTCTTGACGTCATCACGCCCATAGACCAGCTCTGGATGTTAGGACGGCAGGAACAGTCCATGCACAAGATCCCTATTGTGAGGGGGGCAGGAGCAGTGGGGATCAGCCTTGCACTTGGGGGGATCGGCAGATTAGGTAAGCATATCTCCTCTTTGCAATCGGCTAGGCAAAAATGAGCAGTTAACGCATGCAGTTCTTGACGTCATCACGCCCATAGACCAGCTCTGGATGTTAGGACGGCAGGAACAGTCTACTGCTGGACGTGGGGGAGCTTTTCCTTGAGCCCCTGGGCAAAATGAGCAGATAACCTATGCAGTGCAGGCATAGCCTAACTGCATGGGAAAATAAAAATATTGTCCGGAGTTCTTCTTTAAAGTGGAACTGCACTCCCGAATATACTCCCCTCCAACTTCCAGTGTTGTGGCTGTTACATCCCTTTGCTGGCTGATATCTTCTCCCTGTGTGTCGGGTTTTCCGCTTGATTGGCGGAATGATGTCATCCTGCACATGCTCCCTGGAGTCAGTCATTCCAGCACAGCCAGATTGTGTCAGAAATACATGCTGAACTACGTATGCACAGCTTAATGTTCATTCCACAGGAAACTGTGAGCAGGCAGGTAAATGTGTATTAATGCATAAGAGACAAGGCATGTCTGCAATAAACTCATTCACTCCCTTGTTATATCTCGCCTTGACTACTGTAACTCCCTCCTCACTGGCCTACCTCATCACAGGCTATCCACACTCCAGTCCATCATGAATGCTGCTGCCAGACTCATTCACCTTACTAACCGTTCTGTATCTGCCACCCCTCTCTGCCAATCCCTCCACAGGTCTCCACTCAGTGTCCTCCATCCCTCTCTGCCAATCCCTCCACCGGCCTCCACTCGGTGTCCTCCATCCCTCTCTGCCAATCCCTCCACCGGCCTCCACTCAGTGTCCTCCATCCCTCTCTGCCAATCCCTCCACCGGCCTCCACTCAGTGTCCTCCATCCCTCTCTGCCAATCCCTCCACCGGCCTCCACTCAGTGTCCTCCATCCCTCTCTGCCAATCCCTCCACCAGCCTC